ATATGGTAATATATGCTTGGTAGCACATGAATCGACGGCGAGTCAATATGTTCCTGGACCTCTTAATTGGGGCAGTCTTGGGTTGAATTCTGTGTCTATTTGGTTGGCATAAGCGTTCACCATAAAATAATTTGCTGGTTGTTGGCACCTTGTATGTGTGCTGCTTGGTTTTTATGTATGCGCGTATTCCGACTGTATCCAATTGACATATTGTTGTTGTTGTGGTGCGGCACCTTTCTGGTCAAATTCAGCTTGCAGTCTTATGAGCAAGCTGTCTGCAAGATTGGGATTAGCAAGTGCAGAATTAGCGTGTTGTTGTTGGGTTCTTAATCCATAATTGTTATATCTCCCTCGTTCTTGATATCCAAATCGTCTGTTGAATCCTCCGCGTTGGGTTTGGTTTCCTATTGAAACCGCGGCCTTGTCCTGATTTTTGTAAATTGCCTTGTCCAAAAATCTTCCTCGATTGTGGTAGCCTCCTCGGCCTGTGAATCTCCCTTGGCCTCTTGAATTGAAGGTTTGTCTGAATTGTGGCAATCGACAATTTTGTGCGAAGCGTCCATAATTTTTGCACTTGTGTGACATTCTGTTAGTAGTGGCAGTAAAGGTGGTGTCCGAAGTCGATGTTGCATTGGTGTTCATAATCTGGGCTTCAATTTCTAATGCAGTCTGTTGTACATATGCTAAGGCAGCTCCGTAGCTTAGTCTCATAGCACTGTCGGTAATCAGGTGAGTTACTATAGAGATATAATTTGTATGTAGAGCACCGGTTAGAAAAGTGATCTTCTCGGTGTCGATAAGTACGATATTCATATTGAAGGCGTCAACAAATTTCGTGTTCAGTCTTGGAATAAACTTATCCATGTTCTCGTTGTCTTGTTGTCGTATTTTCCCAAGTTCTTGTCTCATCCGTATCTTGCTCCCTTCTCCGACGTGACCATAATTTTAGTATAGCATTGTGAACATTTCTTTCGGAGTCATAGTTGTACTCAGAGTAGCCAATATGTCTAGCGACACAGATTTGATTATGTAATGTTGACCCTCTCCAATTTCTTCGTCTTTCCAGGTTCGTTCATAATTGGTGTTGGTGGCGGGCTTCATTGCGTGGTGTATTATATCACATATATCTTCGGCTCGTAAAATGACAGTGAGTTCCATAAGCCACATTTTGAAATTACTACGGCCTTTGCGTTTGTTTTCCGGCTTCCACTTGGTGTTCGTGATGTTGAAAAAAATGAGTAGAGTAGCGGACCTAATAAGTTGCTAGACTGTTAATTATAAGAGCTTAGAATCAGTGCTTTATTGTGGTGCCTGCTCAAGGCATTTATACTTTCTGTCATGACTAATTCATGCACAGGGGAAAAACCCTTATTTAGGAAAAACCCATTTACATTTTATGTTGTAGTTTATGTTGTCCAATACAGGCTCCGTATGGTTTTACTACGCTTATATTGGACCTTCATTGGTGACCCGGTAATATTTTTACTCTAAAACAATACTATTGGAAAGAGTAATACGCTTTCTAGAGGGTTGTTTGGTTGTTTGGTTGTTGGATTGTTGGGTTATCGATATACGACAAATCGGTGCCCGCTCTGCGGACAATGCGATTTTCTGAAAATATACGTTGAAAATTCGATTTTCAAGACAGTCCCTCAGCGCGAAACCGAATTTTTTAAAACTGTTGTTCTTAGAAGGCTTTGGAACGACAGTCCACAAAACGACCAGAGGAAAAGACACCCTTCTGCATTATTAGGCAGGGGAAAGGGGTCGTTGGCAGGAGAAACTTTAGCTCCTATCTTGGAATGCTTAGAAAAACCCGAAGGGAGGATCATGATGAGCCTGCGAGCGCTATATTTAGTTATAAAAGACGGATGGCGTAACTTCTAGTCACTTTCAGCATTTTCAGCGTTTAAGTTTCGGAGACAGGACGCATAAAACTTACCACAGTAAGATGGCATATAATTTCACAAAGGGTGGGTGTCTTTGCGTACTTTTCTTGCTGAGTGTCTTGGCCTCTTCAATTTTTAGTGGCAGGGCATACCTCCAGTCACAATTACAACTTGTGTATGTCCGCCCAACCACACAGACAAAGCTCAAGATAGGAATTGTGGTTGTAAGTCATTTCGATGTCGTCCAGCGAGATGCTGGACGTTATAATGCTTGGGGCTGCTACGCCGCCCGTCATGGCTACCACTATCACATAGATCTTGTCCAGCCTGTGAAAAGTCGTGCTTATATATTTAACAACAAGATAATTGCGATATCGAAATATTTACCGTACTATGATTACTTGTTGTACGTTGATTCGGATATATCCATAGAGAGCATGAACACAACAATTGAATCCTACGTGGAGAATAGTAACGCAAGTCTTTTCCTCACCGACGACCCGCACCGACCCAACGCTGGTGCCTTGCTATTTAAAAATAGCCAATGGACGCATACATTTCTGCAGTCGTGGATAAATTTACAGGGATATGCAGTTGATGATAATGGCGCTTTGTGGAACAACATTCTTTTGAACTCGTTTCCTGACTACGACAACAGATGTGGTTCGATAAAAGTCAAGAAGCACATAGGTCTGCTATCAAGTTGCTATAATAATGAACTGGATTCCAGGGGTTATGTTTACGGCAAACGTGAGCTGCCACATGTATTTTTAATAGGCCCTCATAGCAAGCTCAGAGGTCTTCACTTTTATGAGAAGTTTCCCAGCCGCAAAAAAGAAAACTTGTTCCAAGACGGCGATTTCTTAAAACATTCCAAAACACAATCGAATTTTTCCAGCCTGGGTACTGTTTGTGGACCAATCCAGCCAGAATTAACATATTCTGAAATTCCAGCAGCAGCCTTCCGCAACAACGATTCATCGCAATAAGCTTTTCGGTCGACTGATTTTTGTGTCTTTGCCTGGAGAGTGCTGTAAAAATGCTGGCAACGGAACCTCCACAATATCGGCCAAGAACTATTCCTTGAGTGTGATTTACTCTGGCATAACGAGCATTGTGCGAAGGTGAAAACAGTGGCAGGTTAGGTTCCTTATGAAAAGCTATAAATTTTTTGATTTCACATTCTCATATCATAATACAATAGCGCAAACAACTATAGTGGTCTCATCTGGAAGGTACTAGCTATTGAAATGTCACACTGTGCTGCAAGTTACTATAGATAGATATATCTCATCAAACCAAATGAAAGTTTCAAGAACGTTCTCACGGTGTTGCCAATTACATACTGTATGTAGTAGTAGTTCCTTATCAAATCCATTTTTCGTACAATCCGCAATGTGTCGTGTCTTTCTTTGTTCTATTTTGACATAGATCAAACGAAGATGTTATAAGTCTTAAAAAAAGAAGTCTCTCTGTATGTTCAGGGGGAGACAGGGACACTACTTAATTAGCCGTTTGTGATCATGCGAGTCTTCACGTTTGATAGAGCGAGTATATTTTATTCGTTCCCTTTCAGTCCAATGATCTTGAACTTTCCATCCTGCTTTGTTGAGTCCTTTTCTTTGGTTGGACTGAGCGCCAACCGTCGATCAGTTTAATGGGCAAAGCTCTGTCAGTAACAATTTTCCACATATAATTGTAGGTCACCGCCTTTGTTAAGTGTTGGAGTTCAATCCAGCCATTATCCAGTTGAGTCACGTGTTCATTCGCAATCGGACCCAGACCCGAGAACTTTCATATACTCGTGCAGCGACGCGTAAACACGCCGCGCTTGCCATTCTGTCTCTCCTTCCCCCTACTTTACTAAGTTGATTAATACTCTCAGCCATTCGGTTATAACAAGAACAATCTCGGCTTTCCTTATCTGAGATTGTTGCGCACGTCCATTAGCTCTTTTGGGTCCCACAACAGATTGTTGTAGCGGTAACGGAAAAACAAATTCGTGTCGTAGATCGCCTTGCAAGCGGGGAGTCTGTGTAATACCGGTGCCCTGATCTGAGAGTGGTCGTCCGAGTATGTGCTCCCACAGATCTCAGATGAGCACTGAACACTGATATGAAGTTGTGGGGTGCATTCTTATATCGTACTCAGAATCATTGCCGAGAAGGGACAAGGGATGTTAAAACAACAGCCGGAAGATAATGTTGTTTCATTAGGAATGCATTATGCCAATGCGGTGGACACAGTGATGCTTTCAGTTTACTGATGCTATTAGATGAGTTACAAGTAAATAAAAACAATCATATCTACAAAACTAGTGAGAAGATGCTCGCGGATGACACGCAACCAGTCTCATTTCGGATTTACAACGAAATTTAACGCCAGCTGCTGTATTGGGCTTCCATGGCAAATACAACTACTGCTGTCAAAGCAAACAATATATTACATGCCGATATCGCAATGGAATGCAATCGCCAAAAAAATGATAGGCGCGGTGTTCTAATTCTGGAACACTAATCGTGCCTTTACATACAACATGAGATCGAACACTTCAACGTGCTGGCATATCACGCTCATGCGAGATCGATCTTACTGGTCATATTACGAAGAAAAATAGATGCCACACGTGGAACTAGTCTTCCTATGCATACATTTATTATTTAACCACCCTAATATTTGTCGTGTTTATGCTGTTAATCCTTGCTTTTCCTTCCGGTATCTTTATATCCGAATACACTCACCTCGGGCGAAGGATTAGTTCGACGACTGAAACAGTAGAGATTGGTGCATAAATTAGTACAAAATCAGTGACTAATTCATCAATAAAGTAAACAGTATCTCAAAAAGTGTGGAATAGGAAAAATAAACGCTCATCATGAAATTAAGGTGGTGACGGTCATGATTGATCTTGTACAGAACTTAAGGCAGCCAAGATCAAGCACTTGAGAAGAGATATTGTAGGGCAACATCAGGAACTCATGATCACAACCTGAAAACCCCATCAGCGAGATCCAGCCTCTCTGTGTGCTTTTTGGTATGTCAGGGCCGCTTACTACGCAATGTAATCGCTCTACGACACGTTTAAGCTAAAAAACAAACAAACAGTCAGCATGAAACTTGAAAGAGTGCGAGCGAATGAATATATATATAGTCAACTTACTCATCGTCCTTCGGGGTCCTCGAATACGCCGTGTACGCAAGGAAGTGCTTTGATGGATGCCATGCAACTGCCGTGCATTGGCCCTCCAGTTCTATTTGATGTACCGACTCCCCTGATTCCACGTGTGACTATATTAAATCAAACGACGGGAGGTGATGAGTACGGGATAGAAAAGAGTATATGACTTCATCGAAGTAGCTATAGCTTAATTGAAAATGCAAGCCGGAAAATTGTGGTTGATTTTGCAAAAATGTACATCAATGCCAGACCAATCTATAGAATTTGTATGTATTTTGCACCTGCACCTCATCAGCCAACTACAATGTTACCAGTTGTAGGAGTAAGGCTCGACAAAATACGCATGCCGCATCAAAGGCAGAATAAAAACTAACAGTACAGGCTTAAGACATGGTTTTCACAATATCTGTTTGAACGTTTCACATACTATATCTATTTGATCCAATTCTGCGGCCGAAGCCAGATAGGTTCCGCAGAATGTAAATGAAAGGCTCACCACGGGCGTTCTGTAACAAGCAAAATATGAGAAACGAGGCTTTAGTGAGCGCGATCAAACACTTAGTTAATTGCAAAAGGGCCCAAGCAACACATGTATAGATACAACGTACACGCGCGTACATTTTATGAATAGTAAACACTAGAGCCCGAATTGGTCGTAGCCAAGTTTAAATGAAGTATGGCCATTGCGGTCTATGGCCAAGACCCACAAGCCTGGATTTTGAGACCGTGGATTCTGTTAAATCACACTTGAAAAGATTCCAACACTGGCAAATGCCACTGCTCCACGAACAGCCCGAGTTATCATCTCCAATGAGCATACCCAGAAATTATTTTAGAAAGAAAAACACACATATGCAGCATTCTGGCAGGAGCATCAAGACTATGAGTACATACCCTAACGAGTTGAAGGTCCGCAAGCTGGCCATTTCGGACAAATCCCACAGGCTTGTTTGTGTATCCACGGACCCAACGGCCAAGTACCTATGTGCGAAAACAGAGCACACAATCGACCACTTTAGCAATTGCCTGTCTTGTTGAACGTGTTCCATGGTACATCGGTGGAGTGAATTTGGCTACAAAAAACACACATTTGTTGAACGAATGGCAATAGTCAATATCCCAAAGAAGCTACATGTTCAGTCACATGACCGACAAAAGCGTCCAGAGACGCACGCGACACACCTTCCCTTCGGATCGAATGCAACAGACACGCAACCGCCGCCATGCGCTTTGATGGGTGGCACACGGTCCATCGAGGGCCAAGGAATGGGCTGGATCATACCAGACCCCATCGCCAGCACAATGAACTCTCCAGTGCTGTTCCAAGACAGCTGGTTTACCTGGCGAGGTGTGTGGAAGTTGATTTACGTATCAGAATGGTGGTACTACAATACATTGATCTGAGGTGGTGGTATGTGCCTTCTGCAAACACAATTTAAATGGCATATGCAACTATCAGAAATATTCGGCAACGCACAGCAGGGCTATACAAGAGGACATGAAACACGCATACTCATAGTCTTCCCAAAATGTCTCGCCCGATCCACACTTGGGGCTTTCGAACCCTGTAGATTAAATGTGCGCAACACATTAGGTTTTACAAGCTAACTCTCACATACCTCGTCGTTGAAGCTCTGCGTTTTAACTGGCGTGTCCATCTTCCGCACATCTACAACAGTCAAAACATCGTTGCTGTTGACGAAGGCGATATACTTCCCGTCTGGCGACCACGCGGAAAATATGTTCTCACCCTTCGTAGCGGTGTTATTTGTGCATGTAGCGGCTGAGTATGAAAAGTGTCGACAAATGGCGAGTTGATTCCAAAGTATACGAATTTGAAATTGCCGTGGTGATAGGGAACGATTTCAAAATGCACAAATGCACCCAAAAAAAATAATCAACTTTAAAATTGATTTGTTCACAAATATCTTCATACGCGTGTATGGCTTCATCCGAATTTGTTATTTATCTACACAACACGAAAACCAAGGTGCACATCTTTAAATATTTACATACATATATCTTGACAACACAGTCACTCAAACAAAATGAGACTGACTCGTCATATTATAAAGCCTACCACAGGCCTATCACTGGAAAATAACCATATGTATCACGTACAAATACAGCTCTGTACGTATGCAGGTAGATATGTGACGTGTAAAAACCGGAAATCCTCAGCGAATGGATATTAATGTGTTCTCACCTAGACGAAAATTTGTACCAACGAGCAATAATAGGTTCAATTTTCGTCAGATACACAAATATATGCAAATCTGTTAACTTATATATACACATCATATCTACAACACTAGGCACTTGTTTGAAATAGTAGATGCATCTGTGCACTAAAGCATGCAAAGAAATAGAAGTGCATGTTGGTGTAATTTAACTAGTGTTCATATTTAAGTATACACATATACATATTTGTATACGTTCTTAGCTATACCGGTTTGCATAATCACTAAAGAGAACATGCACACATTTATTGATAGATATGTATCTGTGTAGATGGATAGAGGTGTACCATGTTCGCATAATTGTAATACCTAGGGTCAATATATTCTCTACTCAATAATAACCTTTGAGTATATATTGCATTGTACACGGTCCTATACTTATAAATGAGGCGAAGATCGCAAAAAAACATGGCAGCACGGGCACGTGATATTCCACTTACTTTTGGTGTCCCATAAGCGTACGCTCTTGTCTTGTGAGCAGGTAAATAGCTGATTGTAGATCTTAGGATTAAAGCTCATATGTTCAACTGGGCCGGTGTGGCCAGTCAACGAATTGATCTCGTTGTTTTGCGCCTGGTCAATGAGAAAGGCACCACAGATGATAAGCTCAGTATATGAACTGCGAATGCGAACTCAACCATGTACCCAGAAACTCTTAGATGTACATGCTAACATGCACACACAGAGAACACAATATAGAATGTATACCATCAGAGAACATGATCCAACAACAGACTATTAAACTTCAGCACTAGCATAAGCAAACACATCTACCCATACTTTGTGTGCGGAAGAAATCTGCGACATATGCACTTCGTACAGGTCACCAGGAATACTCAGAATAGAGTCCACAGCTTAAAATCAAAACTATCGACAGAAAATATGCGCACAGTGCCTTGGACGTACAGTGATGATATGTGCAAAGAACACGATGCATAAACGTATAACCGCCTTGAATCATAAATACTATTCGCACGTGCAGGCATCTAGTCCAACGTGTTTATAACCGCCAGCCAAGAACAGTCCCTCCGTTAAAAGCAAACGAGGACGGACCTACCAACAACGGATGCCAAATTTTAATTGTGTTGTCACTTGAGGCGGACGCCAGCTGGGTACCATCGTAGCTCCACGCCACATGTCGGATCTATGTCGAGTTGTTTCAAAGAGAGTAACATAATATCAGCATAAATCCGGCTTGTATTCTTTGTAAAATGCGACTTCCGGTATTTGTCCTAAGGTTTTGGAAGTGACGATACTCTAATAACAACGTACTTTTTAATATGGAATCAATATAGCTTTGATGATTTGGTTGAAAGCATGAATGCATGAAGTACAGTCATTTTAGAAACTGCGGCCGAGATGCTTCTAATGGGAGCTTGGATCGCGGTTCAAAGGTTCTTAAGCATTTTTGTGCTGCAAAGCAAGACTTTTGTTTATATCGCACATTCTCTATGACCGCTGTTACTGATTTAGACAGTGTACGTAAAAGAACCGTAGCCACACCTCAGATGTAGTGATATAGTACAATTATCACGTCAACAAAAATATTACGAGAAAAACATCGGGCCGTCATGACAACACGAGTACTATGATAAGCGTATCGTGTGCAGAGTGTGCTTAAAGTGTAGAATAGTGGGAATCTGTACAGAAAATGTTAGTGGTAGATATTCTGCAAACGAACCATGCTACAAACAGATGAGAATATCTATATTGTAGCAAACATACAGTAGGTAGATTGCACGAGTGCTGAAAAGCCAAATATTTAAACGATCTCGGTGCACTTTCAACGAACATGGCCAGAGAATACACATATATATATATTTATATGCAAGCACGACTAACATACAATCGAATAATAGCAGAGAAAGCTACAGTCGAACCTCCAGCATAGAGCATAGCGGTGGTGTCATTTTGTAATTCCACACAGCAGACTATTTTCGAACCCAATCCCAAGACACAGAGATGCAATACTGCATAAGAGCTGTGCCTGATATCACAACGCAAACGCATACTCACTAAAATATTTTTCTTAGGATATGTCACTTCGAGCGATGACACGATGTGCCTTGCAGCTCATTGAACCACTGTACATCCAATCAGAACCCTTCCGTTGGGTAGCTTCAGGTCCATGATATCTCAATCCATGAACAGTCAGCAGACAAAGAATCCCAATACATAGCTTTCTGAAATCAAACAGGCTATGCCCAATGCCACATACTATCTTGATACCCTATGAAACTTCTAGCTGCCGAACAAAAACCCACCAACACCACACCTTATCCTTGTGTCCTCTGAAGTTTTTAGTCAGCGCGGCCGAGAAGTGGGTCTTTGCGCTGTTTGCCTGTGTCGCGCTCTTGTCTGTGTACTCTATGTTATTCGAGATAGCGTTGCTCTGTGATGATCTGGTACCCGAACGTTCGCTTCCCCGCGACGACTGTGTGGGCTGTTGGGACCGCCGGGCACTGGAGTGCGAACCGCTTGTGCGGCTGTGTTCTACTCTGGACATACTTTCGTGTGAGTTAGTTTTCCTTTCGTGTAGATTGGTTCTGCTTTCGCGTGAAGTAGTTCTGCTTCCGTGTGAACTACTACAACTATCGTGTAGAGTAGTATTGCTCTCGAGTGACTTAGTTTTGCTTTCGTGAGTATCAGATGGTTGTACGTATGTGTAAGTCTCCTCCGACTCCGTCAGTGTGTCTGGAATAGTGTATGTGTTGGCTAGTTCGCGGTGTGGGTGGGTAAGGGGTACAGTACCTCTGTGTGCCGATGCCGTGACAGTAGAGTTCTCAGCTACCGTATGGTTCGTCGTCGACGTATAATCCGGATCTAGGGGTGCTGGCAATGGCGATGTTGGCTGTCTGGCGGTTTTGTGGATGCAGATTCCAATTGCTCGTTCTGAAGTTTCTTGAATGTGGCTTCGTACACCTGAGTGAATAGTCAGTGCTGAATGCTCGTGCAGATCGCCATATACACGTTCGCTCATAGAGTGATCGTCCTTGTGCCTCCTATGTTGCGAATGTATCGGAGTATTCTTCCCTGGATATCTGTCCCGGTGTGAGTGTGAATGATGATGATGGTGCGAGCTAGTACACGAGTGCTCTGAAAGGTGATGACCAGTGTGAGTTCTTGAGTGCACTCCATGCGACTGTCTGTGTGTGTGTCTGTGGTTGTGCGGGTCTGGATACGAATGTGACCGGGTATGTGCCTTGCTGTACGCGAGTGTGTCTAAAATCACATCGAACGACTTGATACCCTTGTTACCTTGTACACCGATAGACTGCGAGGAATCTGCAAGCACCGAACTGCGTAGTGGTACTGGTAACGGCGAGCTCGTGTGTAATAAGGTCTGTCCGTGTTTCACCGTACTCAAGATGTGATGCGAACCATAGATAGCACTCGTATCTGTAGGTATTGGCTTGTTCTGTGTGTCTTCTATATGGTGTGATTGGGGGATGAGTGTTGAGGTGGAAGGAGATGGGGGTAGGGCCCTAAGGCGTGGGTGTGGGCGTGGGTGTGGGCGTGGGTGTGGGCGTGGGTGTGGGTGTGGGTGTGGGTAGTGCTGATAGTATCCTTGTTTGTTTTCATGCGGCGTTACCAAGTCTCTCACCAAGACTGATCAAACCTACAAAGCTTAGAGCGTATGGGCGTCTCCTTATAACTAAGCTTAAAGCAAATGGGCGTCTCCTTATACAGTCCCAACAAACTATGGGTTGGCAACGATACTATGTAAATTTTGAAATACATGTATAAACCCCTGTACTACTGTATATTTATCTCTTTATCGTTTTACAGCTCATAATATTTACAGTATGTATGTACCGCCAGCAGGGAGCAGACAGCAGTTTCTGTTTCTGCGGCTTTTTCAACCACTCTGATGCTGTGTTACGCATGACGTCACATCGATAAACCCTAAAACCCCTGTATCTTGAACTGTTCTCAGGAGGCTATGATAATAGAAACGTAAATATTATGTAAATATTATATATTTATTTATAAATATGTAGCACTTTGAACATAGCAACGAGTGTATGTATGCATATTCTCGAAGCGGGAGCCGCCTATCGAGAGGTGAGTGTTTGTGTGCTGGCGGTGTATCTCGCAAGCTTTTGCTTATCATCCAGGTCTTATGTCACAGGCTGGATCTCCTTTACTTCTGCAGTCGTCTTTTGATTGTTGGGATCGACCAGAATAGCTGATTGCCTTAGCGAATACATATCTATACTCCTATATCCCATGCATATCTTCCCTGCCTTGTATATGATCTTCGACGGTTCCTACGCCTGATGCCAGTCAATTTTATGATTGACCAGATAATCTGTGTTATGTAAGCGATACTTATCTATATATCTATTTTATACGTGTATCTTCCTTATCTTGTATAGGATCATCAATGTTACCTACGCCTGATGTCGGCCATCTGAAACGGCAGGACTTCGATTTTGTCTATGAACCAGCGGAAGACACTTTTCTATTCCTGGACGCTCTCGAGGTGAGATATTTATATATGTCAGTGTGATAGTGCTCGTACTATAATGTCAGCACCCAATTGCTTGCCACGTCGGCCTTGTTAACTTGGTGCGTGTAATTTACTTATATTTCAAGCTTGCGTATCTGATTGCGAGAACTTGTCAAACTTAACTATGGCAGTATATGAGTAATACATAGTAATTTTAAAAGGATACGTAGCATTCATAAACCTGATAAAGTTAATAGGTAAGACCCGTGAATCAGGTGACACATACCCTTTTTTTAAGCCAATTTTGCTCCTCGACACACCGAGTTTAAAAGTTTTTTTGTGATCATAGTACAAGTCCTGTAAATAATAGACGCAGTAGCATTATATCGAATTGCTGCTTGATATTAGATAATCGACTAGGCATAGTGTTAGAGTCAGTTACTCTGATTGAGCTGCAAGCTTTCACTGACATGCCGACCACGGGCCAGGCGTGCTACAATCAGCTTGGCTTGTTTGTGTATCTGCTACATAGGTTTCATATTAAAGCGGAGATGCGGTATTTCTGTACGTTAAGTACCGGATTACAAAATCGTCGGAGAATGGACGAACTATGTATATACTATGTCAGCTAGTTTCTGCACTCTGTACATTACAAAAGTGTCTCAGAAATCAACTTTTTGAACAACTACAGCGGTGTATATATCACAAGTTAGCGCACCAAGCTTGAGATGGACATGACAACAGCTATCACTTTTCTCGTTTTAGTTGATTTTTATTCGATGCGAACTCAAATCATCTTCATCGTTCTGTCAAGCTAGAAAGATCGAGGTTACTTGCTGGAGAGAAGTCCGAAAATTGGTCTTGAGGTGGGAAGTGGATCCGGTACAGTCATTACCTTTTTAGCTACGGTGCTAGGTATGCATTGTACTCGTACTTTCGTCGTGCCTGTTGGGTTCATGTTTATATGCGAGCCAAAACACTTTTCAGATTGATGCGTGCATTCTTCACTGTATACTCATGGGTGGACGACGATGTGGTAGGTGCACTTAAATTCTGATAGCTGTAATTGGTGTTTGTACTAAAATTAGCTTGCTTACCTCATTTCTGGCTGACTCAGGAAAAAGCGAGCTGGCATACTTCGCCACGGATTTGAACGATAAAGCAGCAGCAGCTACATACACCACCGGTCGGAGAAATAACGTAGCGGTAGAGGTGTTGCGCACGGACTTGCTGGACGGCGTATTAGATAGGTATGTAAACAGGTTTGACGGTTCAATAGGTGAATTCAACAGCTTAGTATGCGCATGTATATGTGCCCTATCACCATAGTAGGAAGGCCAGGATGTAACTTTCTACCCGTAAAGCTTATCGAAATTTCAAGCACATCCGTGTGATTCTTTAATAGGCGTCCAGTATAATGTGGGATGTTCATGGGGAATTCTCCATAGTAGCGTATGCTCGATCGGCTTATTTCAAGTGATTAAAAAAGGGATTTCTTTGTAAGATCTACAGACTTGGCAAGCCTGTACAGACGGTTAAAAAAATAGATTAATAAATGCTAGGGTAAACACTTACACGTGTATGTCACTTAGGTTTATTTCAAAAATGAATGCGCTCGGGTGGATTTCTGAAGGCAACGAACACTGACGGTGTGGTAGTTTTGGACACTGATAATATCTTTCACCATTCATTTTCTCTCTCTTATTAGCTGTGAACTGGATGTAAAGTTGCGAATCAAGTAACTTCTAGCCTTAAAAGCACAGCTAGACAGCAACGTTTGATCTAGTTTGCACTGGTTCACTTCTTACTGACATCCTATGTGAGACTAGTACGTGGCATATATCTCCACTATCTTCACCGCGGAGTTGTTGCACAAGTACCTAGTTCGAATATTTGTACCTGATCTTCCCGTGTTTTCCCATTTTCCAGACTTGGTGGGCAAGTAGACGTGCTTCTATTCAACCCACCGTACGTACCCACACCGCCAGAAGAGGTCGGCAGCACTGGTATCGAAGCATCGTGGGCTGGCGGTAAAGACGGGCGAGAAGTGACGGACCGACTTCTCCCTCTGGTTCCTCGGTTGTTGTCAGAAACGGGTGTCTTCTACCTGGTAGTGCTGCCGGAGAACAAGCCTGACGAAATCACTGAGATTTTGGAAAAGCTTGGGTTGTGTTGTATGTGTGAAGTGCTGACACGCAAGAGTGGGCCAGAGAGACTGAGCATTTTAAGATACACACGACAGTAGGCGCGGCGGAGTGGGTTGTATATTTATTGTACTGTTTAAAATCCACGGACTGCTTTGGCGATTACATTTGATATCGCTTGTATATCACTTGGACGACGAATTGCGGCGGCGAGAAAAGGGCCGACATAGTGTAGTGCCTGTGTAGTTTAACCCATCATAAAAATAACTAAAGCTGTTTCATCGCTCGCAGAAACGAGCAAGACTAGTGCAGACCAAACAGTTAACATAAGCACTTGAGCTGCCTTTCGGCTAACACTTCACAAGCACTTTGGGAGTGCCCAGCTCCGACTATACAGGCAAATTCCAAGGATTTGGGCATTGTTATACGGAAGGTTGGATATAAAGCGTCAAGCACGGGCAGATTGGGATTGACCGGTAGAAAAAGCACTCGTATACTTCATCGATATGTCACGGTCACGGATCAGGAAATCAATTCAAGGGTCTCAAAGCCAGGACGTGATCTATGGTATGTTCCTTATATTTTGGTCTCACTTAGTTGATGTGGGCTACGCATAAATACATTTCAGCTATCCAACCTACGCAAAACGCCAGAGTGAATTTGAAAATTAGAGCAATGCACAGATTGCTTGATACACTAGTTGCTGAATGAAGTAGCAAGTTGCAGTAGAGGAGGGAGGAAGCTACTTATAGTTATACTCTGAGCGCTCTCTATACAATGCAATGTAAAATTTGCCTCGAAGTATCGCCACATCTATCTAGTCCATGGAATGCGTGTGCATGTTTAAGTTGTGGCGGTGACTAAAGATATTGAGGCCCACCAACCTGATTTGCTTCAGACGGCCTGGAAATTTATATCGGGAAGAATCGATGGTTCATATTCGTGATGTCCGATATTCCGATGTTTCGTGACTAGTTAATGTCGGGTGTTGAATCGTGTGCAACTAACTGTAGCTGTGCCTTTACGAAGTAAATCATCTGCGGGTCCACAATGCTGATGGTCCGTGGTCATTAACATGCTCAGGGGGATTCACTTATACAGAAAACATACCTTTAAAAGGCCATGCGAGTGACGGCATGGATGTCTTTGATGAAAGGCCGTATTCTCTGGGATTGACACATGGTATGCTCGGCAACGCACACAGTCAAGACTGCCTGTACACGCCAACGGACATGCGAGGTAAGAATAATGCGTGATCTCTGCACCAAGACAAATATGCTCTCGTGTTTTCTTGTAGCTGCGCGGAAGTCAGGCTAATCGCGCGAGGAAGTTGGCTGTAAGTAGTTAAGTACACGTGTATGTATCTTTATTGACGTTCCTCTCCACACCCTTTAATATTCTGTCACTCTCTTGCCGCTCCTGGTTCAGTGCAAATCACTAAAATCGACAATATCGCCCGATTGTCAACATCATCTCATCGCGAGAACCAGAGCTCGAGTTCTCTTTCCATCTCGTTTTTGAATTGTTTGATTGCCTTCGCGTAAACTGTACACACCATCTCGCCACACACCACCCTTTATACCGTCCTCTACACTCTCACAGGTCTATACGACAGTGACCACGCTCTACCAATGGTTGGCCGGTCGCACAAGCTGAAATCATCGGTATCGCAGGGCAATAACCGAATGACCACGTCATCGCAGGACAGGTTCGTGTTCACGGCTTTACCTCCATCGATGCCCAGTTCCTTTGTGGCCGTCGGCAGCGTAGGAATGTCCCGTAGTGATCAGGCAAATGCGCGGAAGTCGTCCGGCAGCTACAATCCTCGGAATGGTGCGTAGAAGGGTTTTATGCAGCGGGCAGTTGTTCGTGTGAAGACAGCAATAGGGTGGGTGATCGAATGGGATTTCACGGTTACTTGCAGCTGTTGGCATAGTGCGTGTACAGGATGTATTCAGTAGGAACTTTCCCAACGGAATGTGTGGTACAAAATGCGATGTGATGTCGCGTGTGGGCAGTGGCTTTGTCTGTTTTCTTTTTGTGTCCCTTCTGTGCGCATTGTCTTTGCATGACCTCATTATCCCTTTCGTTTACTGGCGAGTGTAAGTTTCCGGCTGTTTATAACCCAACTAGTGTGATTTGAATCCTGACGCGCAGGCTGGCAGATTGTGATTTCTTTTTAACAATTAAAAAAAAATTATCAATCCACAACAGGTATCTTCATCACAAGCTCAGAAGTAGAGATGATCCAATTCACTGCTGAGCTTCTAGCCAGGTAATACAATTACGAAGTCAAACGAATAGAAGTGCACGACCACGAGAATGAGACAAGTAACTTTCAAAATGTTGTAGACAACAGAGGTGTGGTTCGATGGTTTTATATGCACTGAGAGTTTGCCTTATAGATTGAATCGTAAACTATATAGTGACTTAACTAAGTTTAAATGGATATTCTAGATACACAAACAGTCTAGATTCTAAATTGTTTGTTCACGCAACTACACCTTCCGTTTTAGGGAACGACAGCAAGCGGTGCCAACACTTCTACGCAAGCTAGCGGTTGCATCCCATCGACCATCATCCGCCCACAACACGCAGCAGGTAGTTGGTGTTACGTTCATAGGAATATTCGAAAGTGCAGCACTTGTCGTATCTTGTCGCGTGTAGATTTGATGAACATTTGATGCCACATTTGGATGTCCCAAATGGGGCTGAATATTTCGCCAGCCCTAATTGCTTTCAAGAAAGGGATTTCAGTATCGCCGACCAACTCGTCCGATTGTGTGCATGAGCTTCTTAACTGCATACCTTGGCTTCTAGAACTCGGTTGTGGATCGTCCCTCATTCGCGCACTCTTTGAGAAAGCTCTATGCCAATACTTATTTCGTATTTACCATTTTCAACATTGTTCAATGTTCAGATTGTGGAAATACTCCTGGGGGCAGATAAGGTCACGGGAGAAGACGAGCGCATGCTAACAACGGTATGCAGATGATGTTGAGGTCTATTTGAATCAACTTCTAAACATTTTAACCTATTTCGTGAGACGATATGGTGCTACAGACGCGCTCGTTTCAACCATAGACATACCAATTCATGGCCTGAGGCTTGAGATTCCGCAAGAAAAGAACAAGATTTACACACGCGCGTGGCAACGTAAAATATGTAACTTATTTTTGCCATGTTCATAAATCCACGGTACACTAGGCTATGATGAACTTATACGACAGCACCAGTAAGTTTGAGAAGGATTCAGCAGCTTTGATGCTTTACACGGTGCTGATGGATGGTCCCAGAGCAGATCTAGTGTTTCATCTTTTCTACACGCTTCATGTAGAATGTAAGTGCAGTCTCTGTCGAGTTTTTGTTACGTCTTACCACGACACCACACCTCCCAGTGACCCACATGACATGAATTGAGGAGCTTTACATAGCATCCTACGTGTGCTTCGCACCCAGCGAGCGGCCATAATAAATTGGCGCGACGATTGCATCCGTGGAATGCTATAAGTGCACTTCAAATGTGATCGCCATATTCTCACTTTGACACCCTACATTGCCTCGTGAACGGACGCAGACTATCGAGTGGAGGGATCACACCACATCTACACCCAGGTGTACACTCAGCTGCTTGAGCTGCTACAGTGGATGCTATGCGTCTCTCAAGAGGCAGAGCGTGATTTCTCGGGCTTGTGGTACAGGGCTCTGCTCTGCTGGATGACATTCGCTGAGGGGTATGGCTCGTGATTGCGACTCGATTGGTGGAAATTGTGTTGTTGTTGTTTGTTCATTTAGCGCAGAATACTATTCTTTTTAGATAGTTGTGAGCTGTGGTATTCAACAAACGAGCAGCGCACGAATAGAATAGATCAACAGTATTATCTGCTGAAGGCGATGAACATTTGAGATGCAACCTGACTACTATATTTATATTATAGAATATCATATGACTATTGTATGTTATAATAAAATAATATACCATAGGCTCTTCTGTCCTGTGCGAAGAAGCTCTCTCCTGTATAACTGCTGTAACCTCCATCGTATCCACACATCAGCCATTCCAGTCTACCGATCAACTGTGAGCTGCTCACTGCCCTGCTAAGCCACGCAGCATATCAGCTGTCGGCCTCGGATCGTATGCGAGTGGCCAGTATACTGATAAGTCAGACTACTTCTTCGACGCCGGGACGCCCACTGAATGAGATGTATGTTGCTTTTGTCCATACCTTGATGTGGAGATGACCTGTTTGTGCCTTCGCTTTATATCTAAACGTGTCATATGGGCTGCTCTTGAACTGGATCCGTGTGCTCTTCCTAATCACCAGATTCAGGCACTGTACGCTCATGAGAGTATTTAAAGTCTAATCACGTTCAGCAATCCTATCGCGTAGTGCCATCTAATATTTTGTGTCTATTCTCTACAGGACTGGTGACATGTTGGGACTCATCAGTGACTTGTTCATGAATTCGACGTCGTGTACCGAGCGCTCTCTTCTCTTCAAGGCCTTGGCGCTCCACGCATTCGATCGATTTGGATCAGATCAATCAGATGACCCCTTAGGTATGTCACACCTCTTGTTTTGTAATGATTAGAATAGTACGGTCCTCACGCACCGACGCTCTGTCGAAGTGGCCTTCTCCGAATATTCATGGGTTTATGTGAGGGCGCTATTGTTGGCTGTTTTACTGGCCTTAACTATTGCCTAGCGTACAATGCCACCAATTCAACAGTGGATGCAATTTTGGCATCTTCATCAGTTTTCAGTTTGGTTTTCCGAGGCCCACACAGCAGCTCACCCCACGCCTGTCGACTTGCATCTACACTGGGTTGTGAGTAGTGTGCACATTTGATTGCGCGCTCCCTTGGCTGTACTCTAGTTAACGACAACTTTCCAGACCTTGTGATTAACATACAGTGCTTCGCGAATGTTCTGGTCATGAAATCATCAGATTATTGTCACAAAAGCGTTGCACTTGCTGGCGTATTGTTCGTAACCACCAACAACATTATTTACTTTCAACTTCGTTTAATAGTGCACAGGAGCGTCGTGATCAAGTTCCTGCTGCAATCGGGGGCTGATGCAGCATTTCAGCAGGTACTTGCACTACGTTTTTCGGGCTCCCGCCATTGCCTTGCACACAGATATGACTTCCGAGTACCTCAAAACATCTTATGGCAATCCCATGTGATGTTCGATTAGAATGTTACGCCCGAAAGTGTATTATGTATATTTTGTGTATGGTTTACAACTTCAAGAGTTTCCCCCGCTCACCATCCTAAACAATATCTATATTGCAGATTGGTCCGTGCTTTTCTCCTCGGTTTGCAGAAGAACTCGGGAATGAACTTCTGAACCTAGGTGCAGGTGCACACGAGTATGTATTGAACTCGCTTCACAGCGTGCCCGCTCGATATTTTATTTGCCTCGGGCGAAAAAATTGGGTCCCTCAATTTATCAACCGTTGAGTGCTGATGCGTGCCTTATTTCTTAGTTGACTCCAATGCTACTTTCCTTCTGTATGCAGATTGAGTCTGCAGCCAAAAGCAGCAGCACTAGTACCCGTGATTGTGGAGGAAATTTATACTTTGGTTCGACATAGCTTCGAGGTGAGTTAGTTGTAGTCTGGCTAGTGATAATGGAAAATAATGTGTTCGTGCGCTGTGAGGCTAGACTCGATACGTTCAAGGTGCCTCTGCCCAAATTGAGTTATTAATCTGATTATGTATGGGCAGTAGTGTATTTGGTCGCTGGGTGTATATAGACGCCCTCCTATGATAGAAAAGAGTTTTTGAGTGTGTCAAATTCTGCGCGTATTTATGCACATGTTTCCCCCCTGGTGTATATACCTGTATGTTGATACACTATTCTCTTCACTCGGATACGTGAACATGCTAAACATCCATGGCCAACGACTTCTCTGGTTTTAATTGATACGTGTGTGGTTGCGCAGCAATTAATCACGGATCGAATAGTTCAGTTCGCATGAGGTTGGTGCCTGACTGCTTCTATGCACCTATCTATCCAATTTGTTAAACACGGCACAGCTTCACCGAGCATTCAGCCCAATCGTCACCTCTCTGACCGACAACCCATACTCGAACAATGAGGACGCAATCGAGGAAGTGATTCTTTTATATGCTAGCAATGTAAAGAGTGACCATCGCAATGCCCAGGTATATAGTTAGTGAGGATAATCCGGTAGGTGCCGAATCCCGTTATAGATGCACTTGCGCAGGTCGACTACCTATTGTTGTTTATTTGGAGTATTCCTGTAGTATCATGTGTATAGAAAGATTTCTGTCAAGCCAAGATTTCTGAAGTAGGAGAGAAATACTGACGTGTGTCTGCGTGTGAGACGTTGCTCTGAATTATGCTGTTTACTCGTGCGCGTGGAATACCCGCGTAAAAAAACCCCCTATATATATATAAAAGCAATATTGTTTGTTTAGTGTCTTATTTGTATTATGCCCGCTATCAGGCTCTCTTCGGGGCATCCCCTTTAGCTTCTACAGCATATCTTCCACCCCGAGGGTACAGATACCGCCACTCGCTTAGGGTAGCCTTCGATAGCTCGTACCTTCCATCGCACCCATGTAGGTTGATGGGCGAGTAATTCATTGCAATGTACTTCCCTTCACAGGCTCTGGTGCGTGAAGTGGTGTTGAAATCCAATCTCGCCTTCGTCAACAATGAAGATCATGTTATAAACTCGCTGATGGATCGCATCGCGAGACTTTTCAGCAGTAAAGCAAATTTGGTATGCATTGTGATCTTGACGGTGTATACACATAGCTGCACTGATTATGCTCGTGCTATGCCTTGAATTCAGTGCTTTCAGTGGATAAATCATCGCTTTATATCGATATGTATTTTGAATTGTATTCAGTTTGATTCCGATTTTGTATCGACTTCAGTGTACTGGATATTGTTGATGTATGCTTAATATATTTAATGGGGTCGATGACGGCCAACAGTTTGTTCGTGGTCTCCGGCACCAATCACCCATCCACCACAAACAAGCTAAGTATTGTTTGCCTCTTCTCGTTGATTGCCATAGGCGTGTACAAAAGCGATTCGCAACACCGCCCGTGGCTACGCTATGGCTTTGAAGAATGTATCGCTCATATACGTACACAAGGTAATGCACAAGCGGGTATTTCATGCGTTCTGTTTGTTGTGGATGATGCGGCCCTTGCATCAGCGCGGTAGAATCCGTGAGTACGGGGATCAGTACATGTGAGTGTTTTGCGTGTGGAGTTTGCCAAACACCATTAAATGGTTGTTGATATTCTGTTTTGGCTTAGCTACAACCATTGTATACGTAAATATTTGTTTGCATATTCACACCTTCAGATAGGCGCCGCTTTTTTTTTTCAGGTCCTCTGTCGCAGCAATATCAGTGACCATCAGCTAGACTGTGAAATCTCACTATTCCGATCACGGGAAGGTGTCTTTTCCAATTGTCTATCGTATGCAAACTTCCTTCGTTCTGGTCAACCATGCATGTGTGCGAACGTATATGTTTGCATATTCCCACTTACAAATAGGTGCTGATTTTGTGCCTAGTCTTCTGTTGCAACAAGGTCAATGACCACCAGATCACCGTTTAAGCTCGCTTGTTCGACCAGATGGAGGCGTCTTTTCAAGTTCCTATCGTATGGAAACTTTCTTCCTCTGGTCATTCAAACTTCACTATTGGCAAGAGAACCTCACGAATTTCCTATACACACCACTTAGGATCGGCATAATATCCGTAGCGATGTCACTCGAGAAGCAGTGCTGAAGTGGGTGGCCAAGCGAACAAAACCGCTGCGTGCACATGTCCAGAATGATATCCTAACTCAAACATTCTGTGTGGAAGCGTTCGTTAGTATAGCCTATGTTCCAGCCGGTATGTGTTATTGGATATTGCCCTAATTTGAATGTGTACATTTGGTTTTGTATGTATAAAAAAAGTTTTATACGTATAAAAAACGTTTCCACAATAATTAATCGGTAGCTTGTGTGCCCCTTTCATAGGCTGATTCCTTAACAATTGTCACACTTTCTCATTTACGTTACGACTTATACACGTGAGTAGATCACGTTTGGCAGTGGCAGAATTAGTGTCCTGGGGTATACTTAGTGCATGGATGTAGAGTTGTATTACGGTGTGCATGTTGCTCTGAACTCCAGAGGGTGTTTTTGGAGACTACTGAGAGGAGTTGGTGTATATTCTAGTACTGACATTCCCTAGATGCTATCATGTGAGGTCGTACTTTCGTTCCAGAAACACACAGAGGGGTATGAGTAGTTATTCTTAGGAATAGATCTGAAGCGCCTCTTATACAACTTTACCACCGTATATGGTTCTATTCTCTACTATCTTCATTTGTGCGTAAGAGCAGCCGTGACCAATAGTCGACACTTCGAACGCTGGCACGGAATATTTGAGGGGGAGGGTACCATCTCGGCCGTCCATGCCAAGTTGTGCGATACAGCATTTGTTAATGTGGTTTTAGGCATCGGAAGGTAGGTGTTACTTTTGAAAGCGTTAAGTACCCCCGTTTGCTTCATGCTTGATTTGTGAAGGCAGGTCAACTGTGTTTTGCAAGATCCTTACAACCACAAACACGTTATATACTTTGCTATGATGTACATGGAGTGTGGGTATTTCACATAAAACTTAGCAGTATATAAAACATTGCATTGCACAATTGAGCTACGATCTCTGTATGCATATTGTGTGTCATGGCATGATTTCAAGTTTTATTGCATTGCGATGACACTTGGTCTGACAGTGCCTGTTGTACTCTCTTTGTAGCCACCGCAAGCAAGCGCATGATATCAAGGTGTGCGACAGACGCACATGGGCACATAGAGCGGCATTGCTGATTCTTTCAATCGCTTGCTCACCCGGAAAAGCCATGTTCGAGAAAATGGGGGGATTCAAGGTCTTCAAACCACTCACAACATCTAATGATCCAGTCATTGCCTGGTATGTATATGTATTTCCTGATGTGTATATTGATCCTTTTATAAGATGGGGGCATATATATGCGCTCTACTGAATGACATCGTTTTATACTCTCGTCTGATTTACGTATAATGTAAGTGTAAGCTCTGGCACTACATTTCGGTTGCGCAAGTTTTGTGCCTTATGATGTGCCAGAATTGTTCTGAGCTTGTAGGGTGAATCTTTGCCTCCTCGCATATACGAATTTGGATTTTCTGCTTGTGTTGTGAGAAACGTGACATGCCTGACATTTGCGTTGCACAAAATTTTCAACTTGAAACTCAATGAATTTTCAAATACTGACATCCACAGGATGGCCAGTTCTTGGACTCTTACCCGCTTCAAAGCCGACCATCCAAAACTATACGAAGATTTGAAGCTGAAGATATGGGGTAGACATAACTTGCCTCCCAAAAATCCTTATCAACGGATGAGAGATCTACTCAACTTCAAACAGCAATACACACCTGGCAATACGCCTAATGCCACGCCGACAAATACTCCCATGATGACACCTCGAGGTAGGGGTGCGACGGGGAGTGGTGGTGAGCGCACGAAGCTTGTACGTACTCATTCACAGCCGGCAACCCCCACGGCGCTTCTATCACATCAATACAATGCCCGTGTGGGCGTCAGCAATCTGAACATAAATGCAAATATACAGGCGCACACACAAATCCAGCCATACACTAATGGCAGTGCTCACACACGAGAACAGCTTCTTCCTAGGAAGGGGCTTTCGAGACTACCCAGTCATTTGTCGCAGCCGTCTACCCCGGTATTACCATCTATTGAAAAGGTTCAGTCTCCAAAACTACAAATGAGCCTCGGATCGCCCCTATTACAAGAATTGGTTATAGATGGGAGTGAATAATATACTATCAGCCCTGCTATCACTACCGTGTATCTTCTGACTGGGAGCAAAATGATTAAAATGTTTAGCGTTGATGATGCTCACTCAAAATCAACACAGACTGTTCGGGCGACATACCGCTGTTATCTGAGTACTCATATACCCACTTGTATGTGAAGTAAACAGGGTTAACTAAGCTGGTACACGATAAAGATTATATGCGCTATTGTATGACTATATTTGTCTGAGCGTTCTCGATCTACAATTCATTCGCAGTCGCACAGATGATAAATGTATCAACAGAGTCAGTAGACGAATTCCGCTGGTGAAGCCCGTATCTATCAATGCAATATGCACCTATACAAGATCTGAATGACGAGATGGATGCCTCCCGTATATTCCGCCACATGCATCGTCTGATAGTTTGGATGGGAACATATTTGTTTGTTTGTTTTCAACAAAATACATGAATGTAGTTATTTTGTCAATATATGTCTTTTTTAGGAGACTATGAAATCTATTATATATATCTAAAAATGAGATTTCAATGGAGATTTGAGGACAAACCGACAAGGTCATACCAGAATGATCTATGACGTCATGACAAGTTTCAGCATCGCTTTTGCATATAATAATTATTGGCGGGATATACCGACATACTCCGACTTCGCAATTTTCTGATCCTTGTTCCCAATTTGTAAAATGTAAATACTTCAGTATGCACTCTGCTGTCTGCTGCAATAAACTTAGACAAAATAAAATAAAATATATACTAAAATATGCATCATCAGCACTATGTCACGTCTCTCAGCGTATAAAAGAAAGACCAAACCAGTACAAGAATCACTACACTCAACTAACACACAATCAACATCCATTTTCCAATCAATATGAAAGCCTCCATTATCACTCTCATTGCCGCTCAGACTATGTCCTTAGCCCTGGCTGCACCCACGGCTGGCGACAGAGGGACTAGATCTGTCATAGCGCCCAGATATAAATTTGAGGTGTACAAACATCAAGCCTGTCGCGGTACACATGGGAAGCATGACAACAAGGACAGTTACTACGAGCGAATCCGAGCTTCTCCCAGCCAATGTCGCGAGTATTGCGAGGAAGACAATCACTGCACAGGTTACGAGACAGGTAAGGATAAGCACTGTGAATTGTGGAATTCCGAGATAGGCGACGAACTAGAGAGAATGCACGATCTTTCGTGCTATGTAAAGGAAACATACTACCCGGAGATGCCACATTATGACGAGTACGAATATGATGTAGAAAAGCACCGTGCCTGCCGCGGAACAAAAGGCAAACAAGACAACGACGAGGACTACTACAAGCTAGCCAAACTTTCCGGGCCTGATTGCCGTAAAGAGTGTGATCGCAATTCATGGTGCACCGGATACGAGACTGGTACGAACGATCGCTGCGAGTTGTGGAGTCACTTTATCGGGGACAGCCTTCCTAAGAAGCAGGGATTTGCATGCTATACCAAGCAAGAGTACTTCAACTATTAGGTTTGAAATAAACAACTCTTAGGCTTTACCATACGAAGTGAGAGTAGTATACTTCCAGTGAAGATCGTTGCTTAAAATAATGTATAGAAGAATATTCTCAAACAAACTTATATCAGGTACTATTATTTTTTTCCGATGTGGTAGACGAAGACTTCAACCGACTAGTACGTGGGTCCCTTTTAATATTCGGTCACGTATATCTGAAAGTCATCAATACGCTATTTCCCGAGTAGAATATTTTATCAGGTGCACCTTACTGTATACGGCTGAAACTCAGATACAGAGGTCGTAATGTCATTGAATGCCCTTCAAGTCTTCTCTCTTAATTTGGGTGGTTGAACCATCAATATATCGCCAGATTATTTGTTTATCGGCTTAAACTATAGTAGATTTTATTCTTTCAGCTCTAACAAACATGCCCGTGTCGCTATTGAATAGATAGAAGTGATATACTACAACGGCAACTCATGCTTTAAGTATGATAGTCACTATGGTACCCAAATTCCAGTTCAGTATCCTTGTGTTGTTTTATCATTTTAAATAGCAATTCAAAAGCCAAATTTCATCTAGAAGGCCTATATTGAGAACAGCAACTGTTGTACTAAGACCGCTATAGCGTTTGTGATATTTACGAGCCGCGATGCGTAGTTTAGACAGGTAATCCTCAATCCAAACGCCTTTGACCTATTATTCTTCTATCCGTTTACCAAGGAACATGTGCCGTCAGACATCCCATTCAAGTCGAGAAGTGCGCATGCAGCAGCCGTCCGTAGGTGATCTGGCACTGAAACAGCCAAATACAAGAGCAGATGTATATTCGCAGATTAGGAAGCTTGTGCTAAGAAATTTTAACGTATTGAGAGCAGGGTATTTACTTATTTCGACATCGGTAAGACATACAAGCCTTTGGAACTTTTGTCACTGAACTCACGTACCTCCGCAGAGCACTGCAGTATCAGCTAGTACATCGACTGATTTATACGAGTAAAGATTTGGAGCACATATTCATAAATCTGAAGGGACAGTGGGTGTGTAAGATCACTCGCATGCGGAAGAAACTTGAATACATACCCGGATCTGGATCGTTGAGATGAATCACTGTACTTAGCAGATCGAGAAGTACCTGTCTCATCTTACGATCCTTCGCACTGAGGCACTTAGCACGGAATGTCGCCCCGCCGACACCTGCGAGCATATGGGAGATAGCAAGATATCAAGCGATTATTACCATAAACACAATGATAAAAAGCAAATGTTGATGAATTTGACATTGACCCATTCATACTCACATAGCAAAGCTCGAAGTCAAAGAGCCATTCAAACATATGGATGGTTGAAACTTACCCAGGATAAGAATAGCTGCAACACCGACACCCGGCCCTAGACGTGCAGCGCGATATTGGGAGTATGAGTCCACACAAACACGAGCCACGTTCTCGTAGAAGTACCGATATGCATGCGTATTATTTGCATCCGCAATCGTTTTGAAGAGTACCCGGAGCAGGAAAAGTGGGCCGGCCACCATCATTGGATCGTCGAATACCACGAGCGGCGAATCGTTACCGGCGTTGTATACTTGGTTAAAGAATATGCGGTTTTCAGTGGCTTCTCCCTCGACTGAACTTTCCCCACGCGGGTTGCTATCCTCGCATACCCCGAGATGTGCCATACACCACTCCACGCATTCCTCTGTCATCTGCGCGGCGCTTCGGATGTCCAGCCACCCACGGTGTGTTACCAACCGCATATGCGCCAATCTAGAATGCGCAAATATATGCTTAAGCTTTCCAACCGACAAACGCGAGGCCTGCTCAGGTGTGCCTGCATGGTCTGCTCGGATCCCGTTTTTGTGCTTATCATTGGCAGCCGCCCTTTCCTTGACGGTTTGGCCCGTCGAGTCGCCCGTACCAAATCCAGTGTCGGCCAAGCGTGTGGAGAGCGCACATTGTAGTGTGGTAGACACTATGGTTTGATCGTTCAGGTCTACTACGATCACATCTGCAGCATCCACCGTACCATTCATATCTTTCTCAACTGAAGCATTGCTCTTTTGTGTGCTCTGTTCCACTCGTAGCAACGAAGGCACTGCACGTGATATATACGTGAACAAAACAGCGCACACACTCGGATGTACACGCGTGGACATAACCAAGTCGCTGCACAGGGTGTAGGCAGGCTGGGGGGAGACCGCGTCCGTTACGCTAAGCACTGTATACAAGCTGCTCAGCGCTGCTGATGTGTGCAGATCCGTTAGATCCTCCAGTGCCTCTGCATCGCTATCCACCACGTCTGATGCCTGTACCGTTTCTTCATCGCGTTGTACACCTTGTGCATTACGCGTCGATGTATGTGGGCCACCTGTCGGACTCTCAGGAATCGAGAGACCTCTGCTGGCGTGAACGGCTTGGGTGTGCACGTGCTCCGCCAGAGAAGCTAGTAGACCATGCATCCAATCGCTTGTAAAGCAACCTTTGCGCGGGTTGTTTGGTGAATTTTCGTTTTGGTCGTTAGTCTGAAGTTTATCCGCTTCCACTTGCTGCTCACCATTCTGTGAGCTCACTCGCTCTGAGTAGCTATGCGTTGGGACGTCAGCAACCAATGCGCTTACTATCTCACTCGCGAGGGCTACATCCGAAGTTCTATTGTCACCCACGGTAATAGTATCATAATCCTCATCCATGTTAACACGTTCGATTTCACCGAAGGACGCCTGATAGTACTCGCTTAAGTGTGTGGCTAGCCGTGCGAGCCTGTCGTCTGTCTCTGACACAGGCTCTTTCGCCAACCACGCATCGTCCACTGATACATCTCGCAGCACCGCACACGCGCACCAGTCCTGGCTGCAGCCGCATACTTGTTCAGCTACCGTCTCCGGCTCGACGTCGAGCCTCATTTCATCCTCGGAATCGGATTCGTGAGCACGCCGTTGCGCAGAAGAATCCTCAACGCTACTCGACGTCACGCGGTTCTTCCTGCAACTTCGCGTGCGTCTGGGGGACAGTACTCCGGGTCCACGTTCTCCCAGTGTCCCGCCGTTTTCCGTGGATGAAGGCGTGTGAGTTTTCGGTTCCCTGTGCTTGGTGTGTGTCTTGACCGGAACTGGTGAGGATGCTTGTCCGTTACAAACGGTACGAGCGGCCACCCGTGCTGAGGAGAGCCAAGAAGATAACAGCTCTGTCTCTGTTGAGGTTAGCAGATATGGGTGAACGTAAGAGACAAAGATTAGAATAGTATAGACTGTATATTCTGTAATTCGTTAGATGCAATGCCGGTATATTTGTTCCTGTTGGGAAAAACCCACATGGAAAATAGAATACTCTGTTCGTTCAAGCGCTGTGTGGGGGATGACCACTGTGGCAAATCCAGCTAATAATTCACCCCAACATGACTTCCAAATAAATTAAGGAACACAGGTGTCGTTCACTAGTAAAGAACAACACGCAGATCTGCCTCATATATCGACTGCCATTGCCTGAGCGGAGGTCGTGTGCAGAATACACCTGAGAATGTAGTGGCTATAACCAAGACTTTCCGCCAAAACAAATCAGCCACAGTACACAGACATACCTAGTGCTACCCATCCTGTTGCGCCCTGTGCCGTCAGCAGATGCTTCAGCTCAGTCAAGGCCTTATTAAACACTGATGGATACATCGCTTGCTGGGCCTTGTTTAGCAACGTGCGAACGTCTACCCTAACCTGGAGACTCTTATCAGAATACACTTCGCGTAACCTGGACACTGCAAGTCCTCTTACTACCGAGTGCGCTTGCGCCTGAGCATGCACACGTCGCCGCCTACTTCCAGAGGATCCCAACTGATGTGCGCCCACTGACATGTATGACTGAATCGAGAGCTCCATACGTGACCGGGCCAGAGAGTTAATATGAGAAGTACCGCGGCTGTTCTTTATGCGAGAGTTGCGTGACGTGTCACATGCTGCTGATTCAGCTCCCGGGGGAGTATTGCTTGGCAAATTTTCTTCTGTTTGCCCGTAGACTCGTCTCTGCGTATCGATGTTTTGCACCCCCGCCTCTGTACCTTCCACAGCCGAATGCGCCCCAGCCGCATGCGGTGAGTCGCTGCGTCCCAAAGCTCTCTTCGCACGTTTCCGTGGATTTCTCCTCTGACCGACATCCTCTGTAGCGATCTCATCTACATCTCCAGCCAGCCTGACACCAATATTCTTTTCCCCATCTGTCCTATCCAATAAACTGGCGGGCGGCATCGCACTCGTTAGTGCTGTGAAGCTTGTGAGTGTGGTCTCAGCCGCTTCGTACGTGCGCTTTTGGTTCGCACGACTTGGACTGCTCATTACGGCATCTCTCGAGACAGCAGGCATTGAACTACCTGGTACATGTTGTGCTTCAGAATGTTCTGGTATAGGCGTCGCTGGATCAGTCTGCTGTATACGCGGGCTTTGGGGTTCCCGTCCACACGGCAACTCCTCCTGCACACTTGTGTGGTTCTCTGATGCTGGCTTCCCCACACCGCTATGATCTACAGTGTGTTCATCGGAAAGGTGCGACAGCTCACGTAATAGAAGCGCTGGCGTTGCATTCTGGCTGGTACTCGCCTTGTAAGTCATGTCTACCGATACACCAGATGCCTGTTTCGGACTACGCGTCCCCGACTCCGTATCGGCACGCGCAGTCGACGTACTATTTATTTGTGCATGTTTTTCTCTAGATGCCGATTTCGCACCATATGTTTTAGGTGCCTTACTATCTGTTTGGGGTGTTTCCCCTACTGATGTTGTTATTGTTTCCGTTTCTAAATTAGCTGATTCACTCCACGGTACTACTTGCTTCTGACTGGAAGCACGTGACGGCGTCCGTGGCTCATCACGCTTGCGCGTGTGAATATCTGGGTAAACTGATGTTGACGATCCCTGCACAGCCTGCTGGGTCTGTGAATCTGTACCGTTTCTCTTTTGTGTATTGCTGTTTCCGTAGGCTAGCGATGTTGAACACATTGCATCTTGCGGTCTTGCAGCTGGTCTTGGACGTGGCTTAGGGACAGGCTTCTCAGTCAATACCACCGGTCGTAGTACCATAGCCTTCGGCCTTGGTTTCGGCACCGGGCGTGGTTTGGGAGTTGGCCTGGTAGGTTGAACGTTGTCTGCGTTCGCGTGTGCGTGTGTACCATCTTCAGTATTCATGGCGATTGTGTGTGCACCCATTTGCTTGTGCGACAACGGAATATGCTGTACGCCTTCTACTACACTTCGACTAAGTACTGTATTAGCATGATTCTGCTGACTCGTTGTATCTGCCTGGGGCTGCTTCTTCAACAGCATCATCGCCTGCTCTTCTTCTACTACTTTCGCCATGGCCGCTTTGATCGCCTTGGCCTTGATACTTTTGTTCGTTCTCTTTCCTCGGGCTGCTTTCGAATTGGATTTTCTTACTCCGGCCTCTTTCGGGATCCTCACTGACACGTTCTGCGAGTCTGCATTTCGCGACGTAGGGACGCGCGTGTCTGATCGCAGACTTACAGCACCCGAAATCCTTACACTCTCTTCTCGGAGCGGCTTGCGGGGGCTAGCGCACATAGGCGGCATTGGTGATATAGCTACCGCAACAGAAGGGTGTCTCAGCTTAAACTCGTGGTGCGACATAGGCACTGAAGGCGATGGTTCGTGCATTCTAATGCCGTTGTCCAGATTTGTGAACGCGGTGGGGATGTGCTTCTCTGCACCCACTACCCTTTCCGTCTCTGCATCCAGTACAGTAGCTGCGCCGCCCCGATTCGATGACAGATCAATTGCGACTGTCGTCCAAGCTACTTGCCCATCATCCGCGTCCGTGTATGCGTCGTTGTCCGCCGGCATTGGCTGCGTACGAGAAGCAGTTACCGCATCCATATTTGATTCAGAGTGACTAAGCTCATCCTCAGATGTTAGATCTAAACCATCGTCGGTAGCAAAAGAAACCCTGCGCATACGCTTATCGCCATCGCCCGATGTGTCGTGGTGATGTAAACTATTGTTCTTGCTGGCGTGGCTGCGCATGCTTGTGTGCGTCTGCAGGCCTGAATTCGCTTTCAGCGCGGGACTCTGAACAGGTTGTGCAGCCACCGGGGTGTGTAGCGGGAGTATGGCTGCTCCTAGCGGTGAAATGGGCGAGAGCATATGCTCAGGGTGCATGTGATGGTACTCTTGCATGCTTGTTGGAGCCTTTGGGGTCATTTTCTCCGTGTGTTTGGATGGAGATGCCCCTGCGATTGAGGATAGCAATGTCACGTGGTGTGCTCTATTACTCTCATCACTACTAGGGCTTTCAACCTGCAACTTCACGCCAGATTGTGGGTCCGCGTGTCCGCTACCGATTATTCCGATACTCTGGTGAGGTTGTCTCAGCGCGTGCCTACAAAAGAGGAAAATGTTATTTAAGCGGACGAAACAAAGAACCTTGGTCAAGAACAACCCTCTCACTCGTGGATCGATCTGTACACTCTTGCTTTTTATCCTGCAGTTTAGCGCGTATAAACCCCCTCAACGGTTTGAAATCGGACAAAAATTAGCGGTCCGGATACAAATAAACTGCTTGACAACAAATTGCGTGATTCCGTGACACATAGTACACACCTGTGTAGATCGAGGTCCATATCGAGCAGCTCAGAATCAACACCGTGACTTTCGCTATGAGCTCTGTCGGTGATATGCTTATTGACGTGCGTGTGATGCGTCGCAGGGGGAGGTGGATTGACCATGACATCCCCTCTGTCTAACTGCCACATGTCAACCTCGTCTCCTCGATGTTTGCTGCCAGTCGCTTCGTATTTGAGCTCGGCTACCTGCGCCGTCAATCGTGTGCATTGAGTTTCAAGCTCCATAATAATTCTCTTCAACGCGAGAACATCTGGCTTTCGATGCCCATCACTATCTACTAGCCCATCCCGTGAGGCAGTACTAACGGGGTCACGATCTACCAAGGCGTTAAATTCATGGCTGAGCTCATTGTACCGACTTTGCAGTTCTTCATTCGCAGCGGCGGCACTATGTCGTTCCTCGATACTCTTAGCGATGGTCACTTGGTGGGGATCGATTTCTTCCGTCAATACAGCAATTGTCGTTTCCAGATTGCCCACTTTGCTTTTCAATGCGGCATGCGTCTCAGTCATAGCAGCGACTTTTCCACTGTCATGTGCTGACGTTTCTTGCCCCTCGCTCGTTGCCAACGCTGTTATTGCAATCCCATACCGACATGGAGAGGAAGACAAGCTATTAATGCGAGAGCACCGCTTATGCACGCACCTCCCAAAGACCCAAAACAAACATGTCCCCTTCACAGGGCACAATGACTTACGATGCTGTAGGCTGCCACAACACGGGCATTGTATACGTACAGATGCAACACATTCGTCCCAAGCTGTATTAAACGGTTAAAACTCGGGTCAAGAGTCTATTTACCAACATACCTGCCGCGTTCGCAAGCCGCAATTTCTCTCGTAAAGTATTAGCATCGCTCTGGTATTTGATCACTTCCCGTTCCAATTTTGAATTAGCCTCTTGCAAAGATTTGTGAAACGAAACTTTCTCCTTCTCTTTCTCGAATTTCTTCTTCTCCAGCAGTAACACCTTACGCTCTTCCTTGTGTTGACGAGCCTCTTCCTTGATTTCCTGCAATGCAGTGTCCAATTGATAAAAAATAAGGACAAATCACGACGCCTTGTTCAAATTCCATTTT